GCGGGGCCCATGAGTCATGGCTGCTGAGCCTGCGCGTCCGGAGCCTGCGCTCCGCAATGGGAGAGGCCACAGCAGTGAGGGGCCTGCGTACTACCAAAAAAAAAAAGAATACGCCTGCCAATGCAGGGGACACGGGTTTGAGCCCCGGTCTGGGAAGGTCCCACATGCCGCGGAGTAACTAAGCCTGTGTGCCACAACTACTGAGTCTGCGCTCTAGAGCCCACGAGCCACAATTACTGAGCCCACGTGCAACAACTACTTAAGGCTGTGCGCCTAGAGCCCGTGCTCCACAAAAGAAGCCACTGCAATAAGAAGTCCGTGCACCGCGACAAAGAGTAGCCCCTGCTCACCGCAACTAGAAAGCCTGCGTGCAGCAACAAAGACCCAACACAGCCAAAAGTTAAATTAACTAATTAATTATTTTTAAAAAAGAAAAGTATAATAAGCTTGACAAATCCCTAGCAAGACTGATGCAAAAGAAAGCTAAAAAACACAAATTACCAATATCAGAAATGAAATAGGGTCCTACAGGTCCTACAGAAATTAAAAGGATAATATGGTAATATTTCAAACAACTTTATACTAAGAAATTTGACACTTTGAGAACAAATTCCTTAAAAATCACAATTTTCCAAAATAAGCAGGAACCAACTTCATACTGTTTACAAGAGACACACTTGCATTAGAAAGCTTGTATGTTACATTAATACCAGATAAGGTAGATGTGAAGGTAAGGACTATTGGCAGAGATAAAGGAAGGGCATATGTCAAGAGGCCATTAACAATCCAAAATATGTATGCAACTAATAATATATCTTCAAGATACATGAAGCAAAACTGTCAAGAGTAAAAGGACGAAAGGGCAAAGGTACAATTAGAGCTGGAGATTTAAAACTACTCTCTCAGTAACTGATACAACAAAAAGACAGAAAAATTAGTTAAGAATAGGGATGAAATAAAGAATGTTATTAAGCAATTTAACCTAGCTGACATTTATGAAACACTATACCCAACAACTGCAGAAAATTAATAACTTTACTGGTGAATAGAAACATTCAGCAAGACAGACCATATCCTCAGGAATGAAACAAGTCTCAAAAAATTCAAAATAAGTGAAATCATAGCATGTTTTCAGAGTAAAATGGAATTAGACATCAATTTATAGATATAACAAAAAGATAACTAGAAATTCCCCAAATATTTGGAAATTAAGCAATCCACCTCCAAAAACCTCATGGGTCAATAAAAGAATCAGAAGGAAAAATTACAAAATATTTTGAATTGAAAGATAATAATAACATGTCAAATTTAGCTACAGCTAAATTAGCGCTAAGAAGGAAATTATAGATTTAAAAGCACGAATGAAAAGGCAGGTTTAGGGCTTCCCTGGTGGCGCAGTGGTTAAGAATCTGCCTGCCAATGCAGGGGACACGGGTTCGAGCCCTGGTCTGGGAAGATCCCACGTGCCGTGGAGCAACTAGGCCCGTGAGCCACACTACTGAGCCTGCATGTCTGGAGCCTGTGCTCTGCAACGGGAGAGGCCACAACAGTGAGAGGCCCACGCAGCGTGATGAGGAGCAGCCCCTGCTTGCCGCAGAAGCTTTCTCGCTGAGAAAGCCCTCGCACAGAAACGAAGACCCAACACAGCCAAAAAAATAAATAAATAAATTTATTAAAAAAAGAAAAATTAAAAAGGCAGGTTTAAAAAACAACTGAGATACCAATGCAAGAAGCTAGAAAAAGATGCTTAAATTAAATCCCAAAGGTAAAAGGAAGGAAATAATTAAAAACAAGAGCAGAAATCAATGAAGTAGAAAACAGATTAGTAGCGAAAAATCAATAAAGGCAAAAAAGTTGTTTTTTGAAAAGCTTAATAAACTCGATAAGCCCTAAGCAAGACTTATGAAAAACAAAAGTAAGCAAACACAAATTATTAATATCAGGAATTAAAAAGGAAATTTAGGTCCTACAGACACTAGAAAAGATAATATGAGACATTTTGAATAGCTTCATGCCAACAAATTTGACGCAACAGATAAAAGGACAAACTCTTTAAAAAATATAATTTTCTAAAATAATTCAAGAAATAAAAAATCTAAAACAACTCTACAAATAAAGAAATTAAAACTATAATTTAAAAACCTTGCCATAAAAAAATTCCAGGTCTAACTAGCTTCACCAAACATTTAAGAAAGAAATAATAAGCTATCTCAGAGAAATCCTTTCCAAGAATATAAAAAAGGGACTATTTCCTAACTTCTTGAGTCCTGCATAATAACCCTGATACTAAAACTTGACAAAGATATTACAGAAAAAGAAAATTAAAGACCCATATCTCTCATAGACACAAAATCCTTAGTAAAATATGACCCAAATGTATATAGCAATACATACAAGTATATCATGACCAAGTGTGCTTTACCCCAGAAATGTAAGATTTGCTTTAACATTGAAAAGGTCAGTCAACAGAATTCACCACATTAACTGAATAAAAGAGAAAAGCCATGTGATCACATCGATAAATGTAAACAAAACAGCATTTGATAAAATCCAACCTCTATTCAAGATAAAACTATCAGCTGCTTATATCACACCCAAAAGGAATCTGGGTTCATTGTGATAACGGGCATAAGACTTTTGGCCTTCCTATGAACAAACACTCTACACGTGTCCTCCTGCACTTCACGTGGCTGCTGGGCAAGACCAGTGGGACAGGGTTCAATATTGGAAGAAAAGCTGCAGTATTCAGTGGGGAAGTCCTGCCACTTAGAGCCCATCCAGCCGATGAATGGGTGGGCCATGAGTGGTCTCATAAATATAAAGGCTTTGAACCTCTCTTTTCAAGAGAAAAAAAAAGAGAGAGAGATTCCAACTATATGCCATTCTGGAAAAGGCAGAACTATGGAGACAATACAAAGATCAGTGGTTGCCAGGAGTCTGGGGGAGAGGGGTGATGAATACACAGAGTACAGTTTTTTAGTGCAGTAAAAACACTTTGTATGACATTATAACAATGGATATGTGTCAGTATATTTTTGTCCAAACCTACAGAATGTACCATACTATCTACTCCATTAGAATGAACCTTAGGTGAACTGTGGACTTTGGCAATGATGATGTGTCAATGTAGTTCATCCTTGGTTTAGTGTTAAAAAAAAAAAGAAACACACCACCCTGATGAGTGATACTGATAACACCTACGCATGTATGTGGGAAGCGGGTATATGGGAAATTTCTGTACCTTCTTGTTAATTTTGTTGTAAACCTAAAACTACTCAAAAAAAAGTCTTAAAAAAAAGAACATTCAGTGTTAGGATAGGTATTTTTGGCAAAACTCATTTCAGTTATACACATATGTATACAAGTTATATACGTGTGTGTTGGTTGGATTGTGATGTAAGATGCATTTTTTAGGTCAAAGTGTGCAAGCCATTGTAGTTAAGTTATACTGGCAAATAAAAGCACAAATTAACCTCAAAGAAAAAAGACGTAAGACTATCAGTCAACTATAAATATAAGCTAACTTCCTCAAACTTATGAAGGACATTTTTATTTAAAAACAAAACAAGACAAAAAAGTCCCTGCACAGCTGATGACATACTTAACAGTAAAATATTGAAACACTGATCCAATCGTTTTAAATGAAAACCTAAGACTGTCTATGAACTCACGGTCACTAATTTCATTTATGAACTGTGGTCTAATTAAAAGATGAACTTAAACACAGACTGTATTGTGTACGCTCTTTGCTTCTACAAGAAATAGCTCCAAAATACTGACTAACTGTTCTGTTGCTTTGCTTGTTTTTAGTCAAGTTTTTGTCTCCCAGGTCTGGCAGTACCAGTTTTTGCACCTAACCTTACAGCCTAGGAAACCAGATTGCCAAGTTTAGTAGAACTGTGTGTCAAAGAAAGATAAAAGCGGAATTTGGGTGAATATCTGAAGACGTTTCTACAAATAAGATGATAAGCTTTAGGATATGAACTTTGTGACATTTTTTGCTGTTGTGATTAAAAGCCCCTCCTCTATTCCCTTTGTGCTTACTTCTTGATTCTATAAATTACTTATTAACTGAATTCTAATCATTAAACAAAATACTAATTGTATTTCCATCTAACTTGAATTTCCTTCCCCAAAGAAATTCATGTTGCCAAAATCATAATAAAACTTCCTGGGAATAGGACTTCTTCTACGGACGTCACGTATTACCTTTCGCAGTGGTCCACACTGTTTTCTGTACTTCTTATTCCAAGATATTCCTATGTTTCTCAAGAGCTTCTGGCCCAGCTGATCAACAGGAATTAGGTTACTCCCCTCCTTATGAAAGAAAAGAAAGTCATTTAAGAAAATCTGATAAGATATAACCTCAACACCTGTGAGTTCAACGGACACAACGGGATTAATAAATGTGTCTGTAACAGCAAACATGTAAGTGGATTAACCATAACTGTTTCAAAATAAAAAGTTTCTTAAAAAACAGATTAAGCCTAAGTTTAGAAAACTTGAATTTTGCCACTTTGCATGTGGCAAAGTTTAAACATCTCAAGAGCAATATCCAAAGAGTATTCCAAGGTTTGGTAAATCCTGATATTATATGGGATTTTTAGAAGAAATACTTTAGTGCAAAAAGACTGTCTCTTCTGAATGTTCTGAAGTATAACCAAGTTCTAAAAGGGGGTAAGAAGTGACTATTATGGGCTGAAATGTGTCCCTCTACTATCAGAATTCATATGCTGAATTCCTAACCCTCAAAATTTCAACTGTGACTATATTTGGATAGGGCCTTTAAAGAAGTGATTAAGTTAAAATAAGGCCTTTAGGGTGGGCCCTTATCCAATCTGACTGGTGTCCTTATAAGAAGAGGAAATTTGGACACACAAAGACACAGGGATGCAAATGCACCTAGAAAAGACCATGTGAGAAAGCAGCAAGAAGGCAGCCATCCGCAAGCCAAGGAGAGAGGCCTCAGAAGAAACCCGCTGACACCTTGATCTGGACTTCCAGCCTCCAGCACTATGAGAAAATAAATTTCTGTTACGTTAGACACCCAGCCTGTGGGATTTTGTTATGGCAGCCCTAGTAGACTAATATAGTGGCCACAGACCAATACTCAACCTAGGTTCCTAGTAAGAAATTGAGAAAAAAACTGTTTATTAAGAATGAATGAATGAAATGAAATGAGACTACCATCCTTACAACAGGGTACGAAGCAAACATTAAAAGTCATATACGTGAGGTATTATCAATATTGGGAATGAAAAAGAGGACATAACTTCAGGTCCTATAGACATTAAAAGGATAACATGGGAAAACAGTAAATTCCAAAACCATATGTAAAGTAAATCCCAATTCAATTTAAAATAACAATAATAGCATCACAAAAAACTTGTAACCCAATCCCAATATATGTATATAAACACAAAGGAAATAGAATGCAAAGAATATATATCAGTGTTAACAATGACCGGACATTTGGTTTATTCAAACTTTGTTTCTTTATATACTTTCTAATTTTTTCCCCTCAAATTTTCTACTATTCATATGTATTCCTTTTATAACCAGAAAGTCTCCAATAAAAAATTTTTTTAAATAGACATAGAGAATTTCCCCAAAGACTATGAATAGTAATATCACTTCTGCCAACTGAATCATACATGATATACATACACAAATATAAACATACACACACTCTCTCTCTCTACCTGTGATAAGACTGCTTTTAGAATCATCAATGGATCATCAATCTCTTCTTCATTTTGAAGATCTTCCAAATTCACATCTGGATTACTTTTGTCCTCCTAAGAAAGAAAACAATAAAAAAGTTTCGCTTTTCTGGTAAGCGGCCTGAGGTGACCTCTAAAAATGGTTCACTATTCACCTGACCCAGAAAACCCCACAAAGTCATGCAAGAGATTCAAATCTCCATGTTCACTTTAAGAACACTCATGAAACTGCCCAGGCCATTAAGGATATGCATATCCGAAAAGCCACCAAGTATCTGAAGGATGTCACTTTAAAGAAGCAGTGTGTGCCATTCCGTCATTACAATGGTGGAGTTGGTAGGTGTGCCCAGGCCAAACAGTGGGGCTGGATGCAGGGTCGGTGGCCCAAAAAGTGTTGAATTTCTACTGCACATGCTCAAAAATGCAGAGTAATGCTGAACTTAAGGGCTTAGATGTAGATTCTCTGGTCATTGAGCACATCCAGGTGAACAAAGCCCACAAGATGCTGTGCAGGACTTACAGAGCTTATGGTCGGATCAACCCATACATGAGCTCTCCCTGCCACAACGAGATGGTCCTTACTGAAAAAGAACAGATTGTTCCTAAACCAGAAGGGGAGGTTGCCCAGAAGAAACAGATATACTATAAGAAACTGAAGAAACACAAACTTATGGCCCAGGAATAAATGCCACAAAAAATAAATGCAAATAAAAGTTAAAAAGTTTCTATCACTAATCCCTTAAAAAGCAGTTAACGAAATAGGAGTGTTTGTGCCACGGAGGTTTCAAGATGGAGAAATGATGATAAAAACATCATAATAATTTGTATATGCTTTGGAATCAGGCAGCCTGGTTTTAAATTTCAACTGTGGTTGAATAATCCTGGACAAGTTACCTAATCTCTCTGGCATTATCTGTAAATTGGGATTGTGAGTTAAGGAAAGCTTCTAGCACAATACACACAGCAGGTTCCAACATTTTCCCACTAAGCACTACTTTAGCTGCATCCTGCAATTCTGATATGTTGTGTTTTCATTATCATTCAGTTCAAAATATTTTCTGGTCTCCACCCGATTTATTCTCACTCACTTATGTTGGCCTAACAATATCCTACCAACCTCTGCAAGCTCAGCTTAAACATTCCCTCCTATTTTCTCTTTAATAAATTATTTATTTATTTATTTTGGGCTGCGTTGGGTCTTCGTTGCTGCGTGTGGGCTTTCTCTAGTTGTGGCGAGCAGGGGCTACTCTTTATTGTGGTGTGCAGGCTTCTCATTGCGGTGGCTTCTCTTATTGTGGAGCACGGGCTCTACGCGCGTGGGCTTCAGTAGCTGCGGCACGTGGGCTAAGTTGTGGCACACGGGCTTAGTTGCTTCGTGGCATGTGGGATCTTCCTGGACCAGGGCTCGAACCCGTGTCCCCTGCATTGGCAGGCAGATTCTTAACCACTCCACCACCAGGGAAGTCCCTCCCTCCTATTTTCTGATCACCCAAGTTTTCACCCCATCTTATGAAGTTACTTGGAAACATGTCAAAATTCCTGATAAGGTATTTTTATTATTTTTTTCGTACATGGCATCTTGCAAAGGTATTTCAAACTGGCTTAAAATCATAAACACAAATAGACCTAAACAGTTAACATAAGACAAAAATAATAAAGAAATATAGAAGAATATGGCAGATGAAATACAACCATCCTGCTGTAAAATTACTAAAAATGCTGGATAAAGTAAAACACACAACAAAAGAAAATACCTTTTTAAACACATGCTGAACTAGCAAGAGAACATTGGTAAAATCCTCAGAGAACAAGTGACATGGGAATCCAGGGAAGAAATCCAGAGTTGAGGTCTCCAGCCGCCCAACCTTGCTGACACACAGCTTCCACCTTGATGCTCATACAGGACAGGGTCTGGGAGACAAAGCGTAAGGACCTATCCAAAGTGGGGAGTTGAATGGCTGGTTTTCTAAACAACTAGCTCTCCAATTCTTTGACACCACCTGGCTGTCCGTTAATTCAATTCTGACACTAATGTTGCTAAGTACCACGAGACTGCCCCCACTTCAGATACCAGATGCAAATGGGGTTCCCAGGCTACCTGCACTTCTGCCTGGCTGATTACAAATTCTACAAGCTCCACTTCATGTCTGATAATTTCCTGGAACAGCTCATAGAACTCAGGAACTTATACTCAGGACTAGAGTTTATTACAAAGGATACAAACGAACAGCCAGATGAAGGTACACAGGGCAAGCCTGGGGAGGGTCCCGAGTGCAGAAGCCTCTGTCCGAGTGGAGTTGGGGTGGCCACCCTCCCTGCACTTGGATGTATTCACCAACCTGGAAACTCCCTTAGTCCTCTTCTTTCAGAGTGTTAAGTTTCATTATCCAGGCATGACTGATTAAATCATTGGCCCTTGGTCACCAAACTCAATCACCAGCCCCTGTGCCTCCCTGGGTGAGGGGGTGGGTCTGAAAGTTCCAACCCTCTAATCATGTGGTTGGTTTCTCTGCTGACCAGCCCTCACCCCGCAGGTAACCTCATTAGCCTAAACTCAGGTATGGTTGAAAGGGGTTCGTTATGAACAAGAAAAGACATGCCTATCACTCAGGAAATTTCAAGGAGCTCTGTGCCAGGGACCTGGGACAAGGACCAAGTATATATTTTTTATTATACCACAAAGATAGATTCCAGTGGAAAGCTAGAAACCTGAAAGGACTACACTATCAATATAAGCATGACCTACCAAAAAATCCACCCCACAACAATGGACAATGAGAAACTTGCTTGTTTTGACATTGATACTAGATGAAGGTGGAAAAACATTTCCTCTAATAATCTGTAATCACAAGTAGATCTTCACGTGGGTTTGTGGCCCAAATTCACATTAGCTGTATGGCTCTAGAACCACCAAGTCTAGATCTTATTTTAAAGGTATTAAAGGTTGGAGGTGACCCCAGGCATGTGGTAGAGACAAATACACATCTTTTGTGGAATAAGGTACTTTTAACTCAGGCTTCAAATTACTCCTACACCGTGTTCTTACAAAACCAACCAGCCAACCAAGACCACAGTCTAAAATAACAAAATCATAAGGAAACAAAATCAGCAGATATCCAAAGACCCACAAAGTCTTCAGATGCTGCAATTATCAGAGAATAATAAAATAGTATAAATGTTTAATATGTTTAAAGACATTTATGGCTAAGGAACAAGAGATTTAAAAATGGCAGGAGAGGGCTTCCCTGGTGGCGCAGTGGTTGAGAGTCCGTCTGCCGATGCAGGGGACACGGGTTCGTGCCCTGGTCCAGGAGGATCTCACATGCCGCGGAGCAGCTGGGCCCGTGAGCCGTGGCCGCTGAGCCTGCGGGTCTGGAGCCTGTGCTCCGCAACGGGAGAGGCTGCAGCAGTGAGAGGTCCGCGTACCGCGAAAAAAAATAAATAAAAAAGAATAAAAATGGTAGGAGGAGAGACGCAGGCCGGCATTGCCTAGGGTGTGACACGCTGGTGCAGGTGGCACACAGGCTGGTCCAAGAGGCACCAGTCCCAGGGCTGCCTACTGGGAGCTGTTGTAAAGCTTCTTTGTCCCACATTCTCAAATGTGCAAGATGATGTTTGAAGTGATGTCAACCATCAGTGAAGCAAAAGACCCCACTTTGGAAGGCACAGGGCAGGCTCCTCTTTACACCAGATCGAGAGCCACATTTTGAATAGCTAATGACCTCCATGCAAGAGGCAAGAGATCATCTTCTACTTAGGCTGAGAGAGACTGAGATGTTGGCTTTCACCCAGGGAACATTATGTGGGGTTGGTCATGAAACTTGTTGCTTGCAGACAGCTCCTTGAAAGGGAAGAAGAAATTGCTAAACTATAAGCAGAAAAAACAATACCTGTCTATGTTTAGTGTATCTGGAATCCTTTGTCTCTAGGTATAAGAGATCTCTCAGGATAATGGTAGTAGAGAGACAAGCAGTATCCAGCAGGTGTACCTACTGAAATTGAAATTCTTAAAGCACTCATCATTATGTGAACACCACAAAGCTCGTGATTCTTAAAGAGCAGAATTTAAAAAAAAAAAAAAAAAAAAGGGATGCTTCACAGAGGCCGTGAATAAGCAAATACACAAGCACAAACAGAAAGCAATCTTCTGATCGTTCTTTAAGCCCCAAGGAAGACCTTGCTCAAGTACCAGAGCTTCAAGACCAGAGGAGCAGTGCAGAGGGCAAAACCAAATGAAAGAACGCCTGCCTGCCCTCTCGAGTCACGTAATGGAACCGGGAGAAGAGCTTGACGCTGCTGATCATTTCCAAAGAAATGAACACAAAATTGCAGCGAAGTTCAAGGAAGCACAAACCAAAAGGAAGACACAAAGAAAAGAATCATTACCTTTGAGCCATGCTACCGCACCACACAGTGTGAAGCTACCTCTGTGCATGACATCAATGATAAGCTTAAATAGGAAACTGTAAATAAATATTTTATGCCTCAAAAAGTATTCTGAGGCATAAAATATTTATTTACAGTTTCCTACTTATACTGAGGATAAACCCCACCAGCTAGAGAAGTGCCTGAAATCTGACAATGGCTGAAGCAAAATTGAAGAAATGTCTGCAGCCAGCATGGAGGAAAGCAGAGACACACTCCCGAGGCGGAAGCTGAACTGACATGGAGCGCAGGGGCACTTCCTAAGGCTGAAGAGAGACAGGGCAACACCGGAAGAAAAGGCTACCACAAATGGAAGCATAAATGGAAGGAAAAAACCAAGAACTACAGTGGAAAAGGCAAAGAGAAAAAAATAAATGAACAACATCATAACTATTTATTAGACCTGTTCGCAAGTTTCTATGAGAATCTAATAAAGGGCTTCAACTTCATCTTTTAGAGAGAATGAAATAAAGTTAAAATAATTGTTTGAAAGGGCTGGGCGTGCCCTGGAGAGTAAGGTTCACTACTATGGGACCCTGCGACTGTAAGACAGCAGAGTGAAGGAAGGCAACAGGGTAAGAATCAGCAACGAAGGATGGAAACATGGAGAGAATTAGACCAGAGGAGGGTAAGCAGTGCGTCACTCCATCGGGCTGGAATGTGCCCAAACAAGCTAGTGTCTTGGCAAGTATGGCACAAGCATTTGAGAGACGCTTGTATGGCTTCCTCAACCCAGAAGTGGATCAACCCAGTTCTAGAAATAAAAGAAATGGAAGGTTAAGGACCAGAAAGAGTGAAACAAAACTGTCTTTTTCCAAAAATGTCTACAACGTAAGAGGGTTTAGCAAGATGGCTGATTATAAAATCAATGTACTAAAGACAAGTGTACTTCAATACACCAGCCACGAACAGTCCAAAAAATACAGTATAGACACAGCCCCACAGAACACCTCCCTGATCAACATTTCCCCACTAGAACAGTTAGATTTTAAACACCCAAACTTTACAAAACATATGTTACCTCTCAGTACATTCTAAGTACAACTGATAGAGCATCAGAAACACAGGTAGATGTTCTGAAAGGCAAAGTGAATGTCAACAAAGGGAACACAGCATCTTCAATACTGCTGGCACTCAGAGAAGCCATGTTATTACATGTGGAGCAATTTTTCATTCACAACGATATTAACTGTTTGACACTCTTGAAGATAGGTTTTAAGCATTCTACATCCTAACATGATGGGTTGGAACTTACCAGTGTTTTAGTTACATTTTAGAAAACTGGTTGAGAGTTTGGTGCTGGTGTGTAATAGATTATAATTTTTCCCACTGCAAATAACTGGAAGTGGATTCCCAATTAGTGCTTTCTCTTCTAGAGAAAACTATGAAACTTTTTTAGAAGACATTAAAGAAGCTCTAAAAACCAAAAAGATGTATCTTGTTTACACATGTAGATACAAAATGCCACTACTTTTATGTGTGTGTATGTGTGAGAACATTGACAAGGTGATTCTAGAAATGTTCAGAAAAGCATTAAAATCCAAGACAGGCAAAACACTCCTGAAGAATAACAACACACAGGGAGACTTGCCCGACCAGTTACCATGACATAGTACAAAGCTACAGAAATTAACAATGTGGTATTTGCCTAGGAACAGAAAAAAAGAACAATAACAACAACAACAAAAACAGAATACAGAGCCCCAAAATGGACTCAAATGTAAGACAACAATTGATATAACAGAACTGGCATTGTAAACTGGTGGGGAAAGAATGGATCATTCAATAAATGGTAATGGGCAACTGGGCACCCAGATGGAAAAACAACATCACAACATTCACAGCAAAGCATTCCAGGAAGACTGAAGTTTCAACTGTAAAAGGCAAAACTATAAAAGTTTTAGAAGACAATATAGGAGGAAAATCTTTGGTTGGTGCCATGAAAGAAAGAAAAGCTGAGGAATGGTTACTGATTAAAGGAGACTTAAGATATGCGAACTAAATCTAATGCATGATCCTGGGCTTGATACTGGAGTGGGGAAGAAAATGCTCTAAAGGATTTGGACAAGGCCGCTGTGAAATCTGAATATAAAACATATATTAGATAATAAATAATATTATATCAGTGTTAAAGTTCCTGATTTTGACCTACGCTTATGTAAGAGAATGTCCTGGTTCTCAGGAGATAAACACTGAGTTATTTAGGGGTAAAGAGGTCTAATGTCTTCAACTTTATTTCTAGTGGTCAGCACTGATAATGATAATGTTAACTGTGTGTGTGTGCATGCGTCTATGTACAGAGGATGTGCCTGCACAAATGGGGCAAGATGTTTCACAACTGGAGAACCTAGGTGAAGAGTATACAGGAGGTGTTTGTACTATGCTGGTTATTTTTCTGTAAGTGTGAAATTATGTAGAAATAAAAAATTTAAACTTCTATCTGTATTAACTTTCAGTGCCTATAAGTGTTCTACAGAGTGAATATATAATAAATGGCAAAAGATTAGCCTCACCAAAATAATGGGACTAGAAAAGGAAAAAGTTGCAAAGATACTTTTAATCTAATTTCTATACTTACTTGAAACTGCCAGTTCCCCAAATGATCTACATCCTTAATATACACATGATAATGGCCTCCGTAGCAACCACCTTTGTGTATAATAACTGAGAAGAGGTCATACGTATATTCCAAGTCATCTAATTCACTCTACAAGAAAGAGCACAAACATTGATACAGTTTACATAAAATAAGAAGATACATAACCAAAGGGGGAAAAAAATGTCAACTATTAAAGTTAGTAAGAAACTTCACTATTATTGTTATTTAGGGTAAATTAAGATATATTTGAATAATCGGCTTTAAAATTTGAAATTCGTAATTCTTAGACTGAAAATTATCTATCGTTGATCTAATACCAATCACATTACGCCAAATTCTGCCTCCGAGTTAAACATAAAAACATATATCCAGGGACTTCCCTGGTGGTCCACTGGTTAAGAATCCACCTTCCAATGCAGGAGAAGCAGGTTTGATCCCTGGATGGGGAACTAAGATCCCACATGCCACGGGGCAACTAAGCCCGTGCACCACAACTAGAGAGAAGCCTGCACACCGCAACAAAAGATCCCTCAAGCCACAACTAAGACCCGACGTAGCCAAATAAATATTAAAAAAAAAATATATATATATATATATCCAAACAAGATGTTATTTTTATGTACTTTGGCTAAAATCATGTAACCCCATGTGATAACAAAACACACACTACTCTATCAGAGTTTTAGCAAGAAAAAGCCATCTGGTATTAAACCTATTATGCTGCTTTATAAATGTGCTCTTTAGCAGTTGAATGTCCTACATTTTAACTAGATTGTCATGCACCTCAAAGTCAGAGTTGTATCTACTATCTATCACCCCTCCTGACACTTCAGTCCTCTGCATATAACAGGAGTTTAGCAGTTATGAATACTAGCTGGTTTCCTTTAGAGGCAGTTTAGTGGAATGAACAGGTTGTTTCTTGATTTATCAATTCTATGACCAATCTTTTCTACAAGTAACGTGCTCTGTAATTATGAACACCTACACTGGCATGAAAAAAATCTACTTTAGGTTAAGGGATACTTGGCATATGGATGTTACTTGAGGGAGTGCCAATTATTTAAGAACTTATTTGCTTAAATTGCACTTTTTAAGTAAGCAGCATTTTAAAAATGTCTGGCTTAGGGAGAAAACAAGAGAGATGTAAACAAAGCTGCAAAATGATAATTTTTTTCTTTAATATAGAAATCAGAAAGTAAAATTATTGTGAATTTCTTAGATAAGTGTTGTTTTGCTTTTTTCAGTTTTGTTATTTCAACATATGTCAAAATCACGTGGCAAACTACTTTTTTTTTTGGCTGCACCGCACAGCTTGCAGAATCTCAGTTCCCCAACCAGGGATTGAAACCGGGTCATGGCAGTGAAAGCCAGGAATCCTAATCACTAGGTCACCAGGGAACTCCCATGACAAACGACTTTTTGTAAAAGGACAAACATTTTTCTATGAGAGGATGGATGTTAACTAAACTTATTGTGGTAATCATTTCATAATATATGTAAACCAAGCCCTCATTCTGTATACCTTAAACTTACACAGTGATATATGTCAATAATTTCTCAATAAAAATGGGAAGAAAAAAAGAGAATTAACTCAATTATTCCGAAAACAAAGTTTTTTTTACAGGCAGCAAATAGGAGCAGGGGAAGTACTCTGGAAAACCTGTTTATTCTATGCGTGCCAGTAACAGGCTCAGGGCCAACACATTAGAAGCTCTGAATGGAAATTAATATAATAACGAAACCAAAAAGCTCAGTAATTAGGCTTGAAGTAGAGAAAGCCCCACATGAATTTTAGACCATTTAGAAAAAAGATTACTTTTATACATAGAAATTCAACAGCTGGCTAATAAATGTTCTGGACTTAAACATATAAAGAATGATTTGTAGTAAGAAATGCATCAGTCTCATCACTCTGATCTTGGCATGTATACTATTACATAGAAAATATTTCTAAATAGCTTATAAAGTAAGTAGATTATGTCATTAATTTGTTTTTAAAAATTTTCTTTCCTGTGTCTTAAGGATTACAAATTCTACACCAGTGACATTCCAATTTCTTGCTCACTTTCTAGATGTGTAATTCATTCTTGCATCTAAAGTAAACTAAATCCAAATAGGAATGTACTACTGAATGATAATTGTTCCTAATGCAGGGTCATTTCTAATTCTGTTCTTAACTTTTCATTTCAAAGTTTTTTCAAGGAGAGTTTAGTAAAAAGAACTGGGAACAAATCCATACTTTGGAAATTCAAAAGAATTGTAATAAACTAGTGGTTCTCAGCTGGGAGCAATTTTACCCACCTTCCCTCCCCGCTGGAGACACGCACATGTGGCAAAGTCTGAAGACATTTTTGTCACTACTGGTGGCAGAAGCGGGAGATGCTACTGTCATCTAGTAGGTAGAGGCCAGGGATGCTGCTTAATATCCTACAATACAGGGCACATCCCACCACAACAGAGAATTATCCAACTCTAAATGTTAACAGTGCCAAGGCTGAGAGATTCTGCACTAAGCCAACTGTAAATCAGGTCAATAAAAGATTCAATCTTGAGAGGGTAAAAGAAAGAATTTCAATACAAAATAGTTCAAACCTGTTCACAAAATGGCTTGAGATTGATCCGGAGAGGGAACGTATAACAGCTTGTGTCCTTGTATCGTTCACACTTCACAAAATCAAAATTAAATCTTAATAATGAAAAAGTAAGAAAGGGAGGCAGCTTACGCAATTTGGCCGACTGTCGAAAGAAAACATTTTTAATTTTTAAAAGCTGAATCATATAGAAGAATACATAATGCTTCTTAAGATATAAAAATGTGACCTATGACACAGTTTTAAGAGAAATATGTCCTTAAGTCATAAAAACTAATCACCATGGACTCAATAGCTCTTGATATAAACTCATCTATTTTTATGGGGCTAAAGGTGACATCACTCACTTATACTTACAACTAAAAATTCACAACCCATTTGTATGTTTTAATGTCACTATCCTAACAAAGCCATCTGATGAGGGTGCTCCGCCTCTAACAGTGCTTTTTTTAAAATAATTAATTAATTAATTAATTATTTTTGGCTGCATTGGGTCTTCGTTGTTGGGTATTCGTTGCTGCAAGCGGGCTTTCTCTAGTTGCGATGAGCGGGGGCTACTCTTCGTTGTGAAGCGTGGGCTTATCATTGCGGTGGCTCCTCTTGTTGCAGAGCTTGGGCTCTAGGCACACGGGCTTCAGTAGTTGTGGCACGCGGGCTCTAGAGCGCAGGCTCAGTAGTTGTGGCACACAGGCTTAGCTGCTCCGCGGCATGTGGGATCTTCCTGGACCAGGGCTCGAACCCATGTCTCCTGCATTTGCAGGCGGATTCTCAACCACTGCGCCACCAGGGAAGTCCAAACAGTGCTTCTTTTTTTTTTTTTAATTAATTTTATTTATTTATTTACTTTTGGCTGTGTTGGGTCTTCGGTGCTGCACGTGGGCTTTCTCTAGTTGCGGCGAGTGGGGGCTACTCTTCGTTGTGGTGCGCGGGCTTCTCGTTGCAGTGGCTTCTCTCGTTGCGGAGCACGGGCTCTAGGAGTGCCGGCTTCAGTAGTTGTGGCACATGGGCTCAGTAGTTGTGGCTCGCAGGCTCTAGAGCACAGGCTCAGTAGTTGTGCTGCACGGGCTTAGCTGTTCCACGGCATGTGGGATCTTCCCGGCCCAGGGCTCGAACCCGTGTCCCCTGCATTGTCAGGTGGATTCTTAACCACTGCGCCACCAGGGAAGCCCCTCTAATAGTGCTTCTTTCCTGCCCGAGCCCTGGCCTTTCACCTTTCACTTTCCCCCTCGGTCGCTGTGTCTACTTTTCCTAGCAGACACACAGTTCTTATTTACTGAAGAACCGGAGCTCTTAACCTGTGACCTGGGGACGTGTTTCAATGGATCTGAACCCTTGAAATTATACAAAAATTGTATGTGTATATGTATTTTTCTGGGGAGAAGAGCCACAGCTTTCACTAGACTTTCAAAAGGACTGTAACTCTTCAAATGTCTAGATCCATTGACTGGGGTTTTACAGTTCTTAAAAGCAGATAATGCCTTGCTTTATAACAAAACACTAAACTGAGCTACTTTTAATTTAAAAGGCATCAGCTTTTCCCAATCCCCTTGCACTAAAGGCATGTGAGGAGGCAAAAAGAATCCTTCCTCATATTTAAAATTATCCATAATCATAAACATCTAACATTCCTAAAAATATATTTAAAACAATTCTACAAATCTAGTGGGTGAAAAGAAAAGTTAAATGAAAATACAGCAACCTAACAATATGGCAGATTTTCAAACTAGCTCAAAAAAAAAAAATCTAAAAAAAGTGAGTAACTCAACTATAATGTGGCTGAGGAAAGAAAGACTGCTCAGAACAAGATGATCTGCATTAATTTAGGTAATGCAACCAAGCCTAACCTTAGAATGTAATAAATCTAACGCAACTAGAAGGCAATTTTTAAAGTACCAAGATCAAACATTTCCATTGAAAAAGAATTAAACCAATGATAGAAAAGGTGCATACAAGAATTGCTTTTGTTTAACAAAAGGTTCTTATTTTACTAATGTGCAAATTAAGGTCAACCAAAAACTAAGAATGTGTTTAAGTGTCTTTCCAAGAGGCTTCATCCTCTGAATTTTATATTTATTTTATTAGGTTGTAGTTGTAACACTAAAGAGGAAATACAAAATAAATAAGCAAAAAATAAATCTCTCTTTGGTTTTCATAAAGGGGCAAAGACTAGATGGAAATAAATATTAAACAATATAAAATTCACCCTGGTTTCAAATCCTATTTTGAAAGCTACAGGCATGGGGTTTATTGTTTTTAATTACATTTTCACCTATGATCTCCAGGATCCAAATCAATGTTGTGTGCTATCTAAATCAACCCTCATTTTCTTTGTTGGAAAATTCAATATTGTCAGCTCTAGGAATAGTGCTAACACTTTGTCTTAACAGATTAACTGCAAAGATACATCTTTAGTGGTATTTCTTTAAGTCAGGGCTCAATAACCACTGGTTCGATTGAGTTCAAGGTTATCACGCTAATGAACAGCCTGTCATATCATCTTCCAGCAGTGAAACAGTTCCTACTGCAGATAATAATAGCAGCTGAGTTGATGCCATGTTGCAAAAGAAATCACTTGCTTAAATCCTGTCCTCCTTTTTTCCTGTATTTTGCTCTGTTGTACAAAGAGAAACCCTGGCACGCTCTGTCAAGCCCTGTAATTAGCAAGATACATACTTCCAACTGGGGGAGGGGGAAAGGCCATATTGGATTTGCTAGTCAGGGAGGAAATATACACACATCAATACTGTCAAATAACTGTAAATGTGAAAATAAAGAAAGCCATTTGTACAGTGGTAGACCAAAAAAAGGAAAGCTCAACAAGCTTCCTGGTTGGCAGAAATAAAAATATATTGCCTTCTTCATAACGGTAACTTGCAAAAAAAAAAAAAAAAAAAAAAAAAAAAAAAAAAAAAAAAGAAAAGAAAAGAAAAAGGTTTACTTAAGAAACACTGAGGTACAAATAATTTTTTCCTGTGAGAAAAAGAAGCTGAGAGAACTGCTGGGTTGAAAGCTTAAAAAAAATTCTTTACTGTAAAAAATTAAAATACATATATACACACATACATACATACATACATATATATATATATATATAAAATATATAAATGTCTTTTCAATCCTTAGTACTAATCAAGAGCTTCACGTATATCTTCAAGACACTTCATACAAGTTGACTTCCCTCAGTGGACCCTCCTGCTACCAAACACTGCGCAGGCACTGTTAGAAAAGGCAGGGATCTATCTTTACCTTTGCTGCTTTAACCAGCCTGTCACAAGTCCCACAGTGGTACAAGTTGTCGTAGTCAAAAACTTCCTCTTCCACATACATGCTCCAGAGTGCATCTTCCAAACCTGATACATTTCTGACCGCTACTGTGAGATCTAAGAAGTCTTCCTGAAATACACATGAATATAACATTGAAAAAACAATTCCACAGAGGCTCACAAACACATCACCAATTCATACATATACACTGGGAAGAATCAGATTTTTTTTTTTCTAAGTCACATATATTTTTTCTATATATGAAGGTATAGATCTCCTGATTAAATACTGTGAAATTCATAACAATAAATTATTCTTTCTAAACCAAACTATAACTTAGCTTAAAATATATCAGGAACCAGTTTACGAGTTCACTGTAGATACAACGAAACCTATTTTATCAGGAAATAAGACAAACCATTTAATACACGAATTGAGAAGGGTGTATGTGCAGGGTTATCAGTGCTGTCTTAGTCTCTAGGCTGGCATATGGCAAGGCCAGGGTTGGACTCTCCAATGTAAACTCTTCTTCCTCCCCCTCTGCTAGGGCTTGTGTAAGAAAAAAATTATTTTGAGCCAGGATACAAAGGTATTTTTACGAAAATTAAGAGTGTAGTTTGCAAAATGCGAGTCTATCAATTCTACTAAAAGTACATTTGAATTACAACATATTTCTAGTAATAAACAATTACAATTTGACAAGTTTAAAGCACATTTATAATTTTGTGTGCATGTCTGAGCAACAGCATTACCTTAAGGGATTATGCGGATTGTAAAATAATAGCACTAATTAATTAGTTCAAGGTGGAAATCTAAAGTAACAAAAGTAACATTCATATATGATTTATAATATAAATATGTGAAAAGTTAATGTCTGTAGTTTATAACATGCCTTCATATACGTTATTTTTTGAAATTACTTTGTGAATCATTACATTATACTGGTCAATCATACAGTAATCCAAAGACATACAACATCTTAATATTTCCAAACTAGGCTGGCCAAACCTTCTATTAGCACAGACAATAAGGGCCAAAAAGTCTTTTTTATGCCCAACACTTTCATAAAAAATAGAAATATATATATACGTATATATTCTAAAAAAGCAATTAATGCAACATTTAGAAAATGGCATTTAATTATTTTACTCATATAGTCAAATACAGAAACTTTCTATAACTCTTGCCATAAAATAATATTTTTATTAAAGGACAACTGTTCAGTGATGAAATCATTTGCTATATAAGATTTATAGTGCAAGTAGTGATTATTATATTTATATGAGCAAATTTCCAATTAGATGAAATGGGCAATCTCTGTTATGACAAAGAATGGAAGGTTACACTAGTTTAAACAGGATTATAATAGCTTTATATAAATAATATTTAAACCTAAGCACACACATACAAATGAACTTTCTGAGGGGTATCAAAAAACTAAATCCAATATTTAATTACAGATCTAATTGTCAATTTAAACATTCCTCAGCATTCTCTATTTTTATTACTTCTCTAAGTAACTTTCTTTATAACATTCCAACCACCAACCATGATGATATTGGCTTTTCTCATAAGGTCACTGGTCCCTACTTGTAAACACCCCCCAAATCTACTTTCTAAATATTAGAGTACTAAATAAAAGATTAAAGCTACATCTTAAGATATCTACTTCTTTCAGTTTACATGGAAAAATCTGGATTATAAATTTATAATCTGGGTGTAGGTAGAATACAAGAAAAAAACTGATAAAGTTATTTCTAGTAATAAACACATTAATCCTCATGTGGTATAGATCACAGATTTAATTGCATGAATTATAATTTATCATTTAACTTATTACTAAAATACTCTTGCATATTCACCTGCTTTTCACTGACATTCTTACATTCTTTACAAACAATCTGGTTAACAATGGTTCCGTGATATAGACGATTGATGAGATCATGGCCGGAGGTCCCAACTAAAGAAGTTTCCAAAGCACTAAAGAGAATTCGATTCAGTTCCTGTACATCATGTTGCCTCATTTCCTATAAAACAGGTAACTTTTAAATGTAATTTTGTGCTCCAGATTTTTAAAAACAGATTTTTAAAGTGATATTAGTTTAAAAACACAAGACATCTAGAAATCCAAAGGTAAGCCTCAATCAAATGTAAGGATGACTATGCTAAACAAGCTGAGAGCAGGGTAAGAGATCACCACCTATTTTTACTTTTACTACAAAATGAAAATATAAACAGACGGTGTTCAGTGTGTACATATAACTCAATTCACTTGAAAACAGGAAAGTGCATTTATTTTGTGGGACACCATACGCATGGCCGTGCCACAGAGAGCAGAGGGGAAGAAGGAACACACAGGCACAGAGCAGTCTCTACGAGCCGGCAGTGTGTGCACAGCGGAATCTCAGCTCAGAGGGACTGATAAACACTCTGAATTATCAGCATTTGAAAATAACTAGAATTTATTGCTTTGATATATAGACCAACTAAAGGAAGACTAACACAGTGCTACTGAGAAAAATTCTGATGGAATCTACCTCAATCTATGAATCATGCAACTGTATGTGAATAGGCTGAACTACTCCCAAAGAACCATTTATAAACCCAAAGCCAAGGGGCACACCAACACTTAGAAGTGGAGAAAACAAGAAAGAACCAGCACAGGAACCCAAGGAAGAGCCGGGAAGGGGGGAACCAGGAGAGCGAGGTCACGGGAACAGCGGAGGGGTGGTGGGAGCTACTACTGAGGGCTATGGAGAGACGAGCAGTGTCTCCTGGACCTGGCATGAGGGTGCCAGGAGGGACTTGGACAAGCAGGTAGGAAGGGGGCAGAGAGCAAATGGAAGGCGCAGAGGTAGAGGCAGTGAGGGACGATGACTTTGAAGATAAGTGTCATGTGAAGAGAAGCTGATAAAGTAGATGGAAGCTGGAGTAACATGTGGGACTCGGGATCTTTTTCTTAGTTTTTAACACACAAGACACGAGATGATATAAATTTCTCCAATATCACTGGTTCTGATGGGACAGAAAACTTGTGGAAGTTTCAAGACCTGTTTCTGAACAATCCTAAATTCGGCAAAGGTGCCTCAGAGACCCTCTCTACCACTGCAGGTCCAGTCCTAGAGGGTTTACTACATGATTTTATTTAGAAATCAATCAATCAATAAAGTTTTCACAGTTTTTTAAGAAGTATTAAGCCAGCAATTGAGAGGAAGCTCATTATCAAAAACAAAGGGAAATCCATCAACTGATGACTAGATTAAAAAAAAAAAAAAAAACCACTGTGGCATACCCATCCAAAAAGATTATCTGGCAATAAAAAGGAATGAAGTGCTGATACATACTACAACACGAATGAATTTTGAAAACATTACTTTAAGTGAAAGAAGCTAGTTACAAAAGTTCACATATTATACAATACCATTTTTGTGCAGTGTCCAGAATAGGCAAATCCACAGAGAAAGAGAGACTAGTGGTGGCCAGGGACTCAGGGGAAAGGGCACACAGGGTGTGGGTGACTGGTAATGGGTATGGGGTTTCTTTTTAGGGTGGTGAAAATGTTCTAAAATTGACTGTAGTGATGCCTGTACAACTCTGTGAATATACTAAAAAGCACCCACTGAATTGTACCCTTTAAAAGAGGGAAGCTTAGGGCATAAGAATTATATCTCAATAAAGCAGGCTTTTTTTTAAAACAAGGAAAGAAAAAGGGAATTAGCCCTAAGCACCTGCCCTACACCAGAAACTCAACACACACTCTTTAGGGAATGTATTACACCCCATTGTACTGCCAAGCCCAAGCCCCACCTTTCTAACCACATGGCATCATCTAGTTAATGAGTGTTTCTGGTTAAAAGACAAGAGTTTATAGTTTATTTTTGAAGGCAATATACCCTTATTCTGATCATTGTCTCTTTAAATTCTGTGATGGTCTCCCATACCTTCATCTCTGCATCTATTCCATAAAAGAATACATCTATTCCATAAAAAACCGCAGACCTAGTTTTGATTTTATACAGCTAACAGCTCATCAATATCGACAACACACATCTTAGTGCTGACAAATGTTTAGTGTTTGTATATAGTGAAATACTTTTTAGGAAGTCAAACAAAAAAAACAAGAGGAAGTCCACACACAGTAGGATACAGGAAGAAAATGAAGACAGTCAGGAGAAAGGCAGGACAGTGAAAATGAAAAGACCTGCCGAGAATGGTTTCACTGTTTTGCTTGAAGCAAATGTTCAAATTGGAACGCCCAGATTCAAACACACAAGCATGCCATAAAGGCAGACAGAATTACTGCCAGTCAGCTTTTTAAGTTGATACACAGTTTGCTATAAAAATGGCAATTTCCATTAATGTAACAGGTGGTATATCTCAACTAGACTATATACAAACGGTAGAAATTATAAAAACCAGCTCTTATACTTCTCCCTGTATCTTCAACCCTCTCCCCCAGCCCCAAATCACACTCATTCATAAAATCCTGGATACAGCCAAGCGTCTAAAAATGTTTTACTGGTTTGTAATTATCTAATATTAGAAGTAAATATTTAAACAATATCTTGAGACCATAAGACAAAATTAAAGGAGAAGTTAGATAACATTGTGAAGCCAGTGTTCAGTCTTTACTGCTGATAACTTTTCCTTGGAAAAGCTGACCTTCGTACCTCATCACTGGTCCACCCAAAGCTGTCAGTGAGGTCTGTGGTGGACGCAGCTTCCTGGTCTAAGAGCAGAAGCTGTGCAAACAACCGCTGTAACTGCAAAGGTATGATTCGGACCTGAATGAGAAAAAAATGCATTTCTAAATATCTTTTAAATGTTGGTTGGGCCTTTTTAAAAGAACTGCATACTAATTTTCTCCTACCTCCTAGTTCATTTAGTTCACTCGGGAGAAAATTTATAAATATTTTAAGGGGTGAATGAAGATTCATTTTTCTTTGAAAATTTTAATTCAATACAATTCTTAGCTATATTGACATATCACAGATCAGTATTAAAACCCAAACAGGCCCTAATAAACCACCCAATTAATTACAGAATGACAGTAATTCAAGTCTCTAATAGTTCATCCTTTCTCCAAAATACCTCAGTTACAGACATACTCCCTATGAGGAATTTTCCAGTCACAAGTATCTCACAGGGCTGGCTGCACCCTCCGTTGCTTTCTTCCTGCTGGCGCCACGCCCGTTCCTGCCTGTGTGCTGTGGGCCAGGGCCCTGAGAAGGCTGCCTGGAGCCTGATCTGAAGACTGGACTTAAATATCTAAAGTAAGAATAAGCCTTTAGAAAACTTTATGGCAATTTTGCATTGCCACAGCATTTTTATTATATCCAATGAAAGTCTGATCTTCAACAGACTGTGAATAAAAAAACAAAAAAAACGGGCTTTTTGCCACACGGGGAGTTTGAGAAGCACTGGGCTGGATCATGAAAGACTCTTATTAAGAAGTACAGGGCTGGACTTCCCTGGTGGTGCAGTGGATAAGAATCTGCCTGCCAATGCAAGGGACACGGGTTCAAGCCCTGGTCCGGGAAGATCCCACATGCCGCAGAGCAGCTAAGCCCGTGCACCACAACTACTGAGCCTGCGCTCTAGAGCCCACGAGCCACAACTACTGAGCCTGTGTGCTGCAACTACTGAAGATGGCATCTGGTTAAAAGACAAGAGTTTATAGTTTATTTTTGAAGGCAATATACCCTTATTCTGATCATTGTCTCTTTAAATTCTGTGATGGTCTCCCATACCTTCATCTCTGCATCTATTCCATAAAAGAATACATCTATTCCATAAAAAACCGCAGACCTAGTTTTGATTTTATACAGCTAACAGCTCATCAATATCGACAACACACATCTTAGTGCTGACAAATGTTTAGTGTTTGTATATAGTGAAATACTTTTTAGGAAGTCAAACAAAAAAAACAAGAGGAAGTCCACACACAGTAGGATACAGGAAGAAAATGAAGACAGTCAGGAGAAAGGCAGGACAGTGAAAATGAAAAGACCTGCCGAGAATGGTTTCACTGTTTTGCTTGAAGCAAATGTTCAAATTGGAACGCCCAGATTCAAACACACAAGCATGCCATAAAGGCAGACAGAATTACTGCCAGTCAGCTTTTTAAGTTGATACACAGTTTGCTATAAAAATGGCAATTTCCATTAATGTAACAGGTGGTATATCTCAACTAGACTATATACAAACGGTAGAAATTATAAAAACCAGCTCTTATACTTCTCCCTGTATCTTCAACCCTCTCCCCCAGCCCCAAATCACACTCATTCATAAAATCCTGGATACAGCCAAGCGTCTAAAAATGTTTTACTGGTTTGTAATTATCTAATATTAGAAGTAAATATTTAAACAATATCTTGAGACCATAAGACAAAATTAAAGGAGAAGTTAGATAACATTGTGAAGCCAGTGTTCAGTCTTTACTGCTGATAACTTTTCCTTGGAAAAGCTGACCTTCGTACCTCATCACTGGTCCACCCAAAGCTGTCAGTGAGGTCTGTGGTGGACGCAGCTTCCTGGTCTAAGAGCAGAAGCTGTGCAAACAACCGCTGTAACTGCAAAGGTATGATTCGGACCTGAATGAGAAAAAAATGCATTTCTAAATATCTTTTAAATGTTGGTTGGGCCTTTTTAAAAGAACTGCATACTAATTTTCTCCTACCTCCTAGTTCATTTAGTTCACTCGGGAGAAAATTTATAAATATTTTAAGGGGTGAATGAAGATTCATTTTTCTTTGAAAATTTTAATTCAATACAATTCTTAGCTATATTGACATATCACAGATCAGTATTAAAACCCAAACAGGCCCTAATAAACCACCCAATTAATTACAGAATGACAGTAATTCAAGTCTCTAATAGTTCATCCTTTCTCCAAAATACCTCAGTTACAGACATACTCCCTATGAGGAATTTTCCAGTCACAAGTATCTCACAGGGCTGGCTGCACCCTCCGTTGCTTTCTTCCTGCTGGCGCCACGCCCGTTCCTGCCTGTGTGCTGTGGGCCAGGGCCCTGAGAAGGCTGCCTGGAGCCTGATCTGAAGACTGGACTTAAATATCTAAAGTAAGAATAAGCCTTTAGAAAACTTTATGGCAATTTTGCATTGCCACAGCATTTTTATTATATCCAATGAAAGTCTGATCTTCAACAGACTGTGAATAAAAAAACAAAAAAAACGGGCTTTTTGCCACACGGGGAGTTTGAGAAGCACTGGGCTGGATCATGAAAGACTCTTATTAAGAAGTACAGGGCTGGACTTCCCTGGTGGTGCAGTGGATAAGAATCTGCCTGCCAATGCAAGGGACACGGGTTCAAGCCCTGGTCCGGGAAGATCCCACATGCCGCAGAGCAGCTAAGCCCGTGCACCACAACTACTGAGCCTGCGCTCTAGAGCCCACGAGCCACAACTACTGAGCCTGTGTGCTGCAACTACTGAAGATGGCACGCCTACATGCCTAGAGCCTGTGCTCCGCGACAAGAAAAGCCACCGCAATGAAAAGCCTTCGCGCTGCAACGAAGAGTAGCCCCCACTCGCGGCAACTAGAGATAAACCCTGCGCACAGCAAAAAAGACCCAACTCAGACAAAAATAAATAAATAAATAAATTTATATAAAAAAAAAGAATCTGCCTGCCAATGCAGGGGACACGGGTTCAAGCCCTGGTCCGGAAGGATCTCTCATGCCGCGGAGCAACTAAGCCATGCACCACAACTGTTGAGCCAGCGCTCTAAAGCCCACGAGCCACAACTACTAAGCCCGTGTGCCACACCTACTGAAGCCCACGTGCCTAGAGTCTGTGCTCTGCAACAAGAGAAGCCACCGCAATGAGAAGCCTGTGCTCAGCAACAAAGACCCAAGGCAGCCAAAAATAAATAAATGAATAAATAAATTTATTAAAAAAAAAAAGTACAGGGCTTCCCTGGTGGCAGTGGTTGAGAATCTGCCTGCCAGTGCAGGGGACACGGGTTCGATCCCTGGTCCGGGAAGATCCCACATGCTGTGGAGCAGCTAAGCCTGTGCGCCACAACTACTGAGCCTGTGCTCTAGAGCCTGCGAGCCACAACTACTGAGCCCATGAGCTACAACTACTGAAGCCCGCACACCTAGAGCCTGTGCTCCGCAACAAGAGAAGCCACCACAGTGAGAAGCCTGTGCACCACAATAAGGAATAGCCCCCGCTCGCCGCAACTAGAGAAGGCCCGCGTGCAGCAACAAAGACCCAACGCAGCCAAAAGTAAATAAATAAATGTATTTAAAAAAATTTATAAAAAAAAAAGAAGTACAGATTTTAGGGGACTTCCCTGGAGGTCCAGTGGTTAAGACTCAGCGCTTCCACTGCTGGGGGGCGTGAGTTTGATCCCTAGTCAGGGAACTGAGATCCTGCATGCCGCACAGCATGGCCCCCCCAAAAAATGTACAGATTTTAGTCTGAGGGTGATAAAGTTCTGAATGATGTTTAAGCAAGGGAGAAATGTGATTAGATACGCACTTACAGTAAACCAATCCCTCACTCAGTTTACTTCCAGAATACCAAACTGAAAGAACACTGGCCCCTTATTTTTTGTTGCTACAAGTAAGTGCATTAAGCAGACTTTCTGGCGTGCCAGTGTGGACAACTCGTATCTCCTTCATGCAGAGAGAGGTATGTCTAAAAAGCAGCAGCAGCATTGCATCTGCATAAGTAATTCTCTGTTGGAAGGGCAGTTCCCTTAACAGTAAGGTATAGGCCAAGACACTTTCTGAAAATAAAGATCATATTTGGTAATTAATAAAATTATTGATTCCTATGAATAAGCAACTTAATTCTTTCCTTAAAACATTTCCTCAGTACTCCAAAAACCCCTGTGAATCAAAGATTTTAATACCTTTGCATCAGGTTTATCCTTATCCTCTAACGAACCAAGCTCTTCCGGGCCAAGAGAAAATAAAGCTTCTAAACAAAAAAGTAGAATCACAGATGTAAATGACATTATCTCATTTTTGAAAACTGTTTTAGAAAGCCAAGGCCATCAGTAAGTAAAAATCAGTTAAAGATTCAGAAATATGACTTGACAATATTTACACCCTTACCCTACCCATCTTGCTTTTCTAACCACTGACCCTATTAGAAAGTGGGAAGCTAACGTTTCAATAAGGGAGAGCTGTAAAAGGAAAATTATACATATAAAAACCGTAACATCAGAAATCTTTGGTGGCTTCCTATTGCCTATGGCAGTGGGTCCCAAAACCCACATGAGGAATACTAGGAAATACACAATATATAATAGTGTCACATGCGTTTGTTTACAAGCCACACGTGAGACTTCCAACCATTCTTTCATAATGAGCACCTTTAACTCTGAGATAACGCCCTTCCCATTTTGGTATGAAAATATCTTTTCTGCATTGAGGGTAATAACAGATGGTGGTGACCTTACCTGGAAAAAGACGTTGGCAACCCAGTGCCGGTCTCCAGAATTTGTTTATAATTCAATGTCTGGGTACGCCACCCAGTGGGGCGTATCTGAATCTTTTGGGAAGTCTGTATTCAAACAGATAGGAACACCTACTGGGAGACTCTGATATACTCCAGGGAGAGAAGGGATGGGACGGGTGTTGCCTTGCACTGAAAACCACTGCTGCCTTAGTGATTACTGTTATGTTATATTCCTCCTGAGCTCCCAGCAGGAACTGGGAAAAACACTACATGAAGGTTACAAACATAAAGGTTAAAGCATAAAAACCATACAAAGACTTCCACAATCGTCTCCCACTACTCCCAGCTACACGGATCTGGGAGTACAGTGGAACTGAATCTAGTCCTATTCCTTTAAATATGATTCCAAAAATTTCCCCTCAGTTCTCCGCCAGTCCTTACCCTTTCCAAATTGTACGTCTTCTTCAATAAGCTTCAGGATCCGCGCTACGCCTTACTAGGAGTGTGCGAGTCACACGAAGGTGTCGGCCCATGTGCTTGGCCGGCCACCCCCTTTGCTAGAGAGAAGGGGGCCCGGGGTTCTGAGCCCTTTCTTCTTAGCGGCGCTCTCCATGACCTGCCTGCCTTCCCCAACAGTCGCCTTCCTCACCCTCTTCTTAAGGCTACTTTTCTACTTTAAGTTGCCCTTGAACTTCAATTATACTAAAACTTGGGAAAAACTTAACCTCCATAGGAACCCGCTTATTCATGCTCCAAATTTCTAACGGTGGAACTACTGAAGGCACTGGGGGGATATTTTTATGGAGTGGATGGAGTCACAGACAAGAGGCAACACTCAAATCTACATGCACTTCGACCCATTAGAATGGCCCTGGGAAGGGGATAACGGTAATTATACACTAAATCTCTGGTGGCAGGAAGTCTCTGTAAGCTTAGAAGCAACAGAAAATGTCACAAAACTTTGCTAAATTTGGTAGTGGTGGGAAGGGGGATGAGATACTGGATACAGGATGAGCCAGGTTGTCTGTCCTCAGAATATGGAGACATAGTGGGGAGCTGAGCTACAGCCATGGAGCTTCGTAGCTGGGGGCCCCCGATCAGGGCCATGTGAAGGCAGAGGAATCTTCACACTGAAATCAAGGGAGCACAGAGACTAAGACACTTGTGGAGGAAGCTAGTTTGCAGAGGAGGAATGGGACAAACGTGTAGGGAAAAACAGGGGCAAGAAAAGTTGCCCTTGAACTTCAATTATACTAAAACTTGGGAAAAACTTAACCTCCATAGGAACCCGCTTATTCATGCTCCAAATTTCTAACGGTGGAACTACTGAAGGCACTGGGGGGATATTTTTATGGAGTGGATGGAGTCACAGACAAGAGGCAACACTCAAATCTACATGCACTTCGACCCATTAGAATGGCCCTGGGAAGGGGATAACGGTAATTATACACTAAATCTCTGGTGGCAGGAAGTCTCTGTAAGCTTAGAAGCAACAGAAAATGTCACAAAACTTTGCTAAATTTGGTAGTGGTGGGAAGGGGGATGAGATACTGGATACAGGATGAGCCAGGTTGTCTGTCCTCAGAATATGGAGACATAGTGGGGAGCTGAGCTACAGCCATGGAGCTTCGTAGCTGGGGGCCCCCGATCAGGGCCATGTGAAGGCAGAGGAATCTTCACACTGAAATCAAGGGAGCACAGAGACTAAGACACTTGTGGAGGAAGCTAGTTTGCAGAGGAGGAATGGGACAAACGTGTAGGGAAAAATAGGGGCAAGAAATCAAGGGTCCAAGGAGGTCAGGGTGGCTTCCTGTAGGTGGTTTCTAGGAGATTCCCCTATATTCTTACAGTAAACCTCCCTTTTAATTGAGCTACTTTGAGTGGGTTTCTGTTCCTTTTACACAGTCCCTTATCTAACACCTTGGATCTCTGGAATTCAGAATTTCCAGATTTTAGAAAGGTAATATGAAGAAAGTGTCCAATATGTTAACATTATATCCCCAGCAGAGTCTCGGACAAACAGTATCTATTAATCAAGGACTTAATATTCCTGTGACAAATGTATGACTGCTCACCCAAGTGAGATAATTAAGACTATCAACAGTCTCACAGCAGGTCAGGCTCTCGGGCCAAACAAGTTCAGATTATTAGGTCAGGCTGTCAGAGTTTTCCAGATTTCAGAACTTCAGATAAACGATTGTGGACTGTATGAATAATGTGACAACCCCTCCCCACTCCAAAAGGAAGCATATAACTGTACTGAGTAACTCTGGTTTAAGTGTTTATTACTTTGAGAAACTCAAAAATACAAATGGTGTACAATAATGAAGGCTGGCACTCATGACAAAATTGTCTATGTTGTACTTTAAATAATAGGAATTAGAAAAGAAATACATTGCCTTATTTTTTTTATCTTGTTACTGAACATTACTGTGTTCACACAGAAAATATTCATAATTTAAGCTTCACATTCCTCTGCAGAATTACCAGTTTATGTCCCTCATTAGCAACAATTAACACACACTGTCGAATACACATTTAAAATACTTTGTCTTCTTGTGATTCTGCATAATTAATTACAGGTAGATACGAGGATACATATTACCAGCCAAATGCATGTAATGCAGCATACCTCTGAATTCAGGTGTGAAATGAAGAGTCTGAAGAAGGGAATTGAGGTAACAGGTTCCACCCTGATTTCTGATTCCACTTAAATTGGTGAATTCTCTAGGCGCAGGTGGCTCCAAAGCTTTGGTCTTTAATTTCTTCCCTTTTCCATAATGATCATCTGACACACTGGAATAATCCTCTTCAAACAGGTCCCCAAACATTGTGAAACTAAATACTACCCTTAAAAAAATATAACATGTTATATAAACGTTTTTATTTTTAAAACAAAACTTCCCCACATCTCCCTTTTATACTTGGGAGTCTCCATTTTAAGTCACTCTTTAGAAAGTCCAGACAGTAGTTCGGGCTTTGGAGGCAGCAAGACCTGAATTTTTTCATCCCTGCTCCACACTACCTGTGTGACCATGGGCAGGTTACTTAACCCACGTTCTTATAAGTAAAATGCGATACCAACTGTCACGCAATCAAATAACATAATGAAAGAAAGGCATTTAGGGTACAGGGTTTAGCCCACAATAAACGACAGCTGTTTTTAAAAAGGCATATTGATATCACTAGTGAAAAAAAAAGAAAACCCATCAATACACCTAATCTGCTGAGGTGGCAGAGCCAAAGCTAGATTCTGAGCGTTGACAATGGCCTAGGGACCATGAATCACTTCCTAAAATCTCTGCTTCTCAAATTCCTTGCACCCAGATTATGACACTTAAATAAGTTAAATGGAACAAATTAATCTTTATAGTAGTTTAATACATGTCCCCAAAGACGGACAGCCAGGTGGAGATTCACTGGGAAAAAAACACTGCCATTTAAATAATGGAGCCTCGAGGGCTTTACAACATGTATCCATCCGGTGATCCCAACATTAGCTCCTGGGGTCTAAAGAATCCGCTCAAGGTCTCACATCGAGTGTGGAGGAGGGTCACCTGGAGACGAGAAAGGCCAAGCGCCTAGCACAGTTCCTAAGGGATAGGAAACGCTGAAATGCAATTATTTGCCTTTTCAACCCGCTCCTCAGAAGAAAAGCACAAGAAATGGAACTTGAAAGTGTGGCCTCGAGCGCGTGGTCTAGATTCCGGTCTTCTCCGCTCCACGGTCAGACCAGGCCCTCAAGCCCTCCAAGCCACCGAGCCCAGGGGCGCGAGGAGGCAAAGGTCCCCGAGGCGGGGGACAGCAGCCCCACACCAGGAGGACGCCGCATGCCGGGGCCGGCCCGGGCAGCCTCTCGCCTCGGCCCCCCTCATCCCTCCCGAGATCCCCGGCCGCAGGCCCCACTTACTGCCTAAAGCCCAGACCCCCGCCCCGTCCAAAACTCGAAGCGAAAGAACGCGCCGCTACCGGGGACCGCCATGTTGACGTCAGCAACTCTCCCGCGGCACCGCGCGTGAGCGATTTATGGAACGCACGGACTACGTCTCCCGGGATGCCCGGCGGGGTAGCGCCGGCCCGCGGCGCGGGGCCTTATGGGCAATGTAGTTCTTTTGGCCTGAGAATGCGGGTGTCGCGTTGGGTGAACAGTGCTCGCTTCCTTGTCTGCTGGCGGGTTCGCGAGTCCGCTCGGTGAGCCGGCCACTCATTCGTTCACTTTTTAAAGTTTTTTTTTTTATAGTGTTTATTTATTTTTACTTGTTGACAGTTTTGATTTATTTATTTATTTATGTCTGTGTTGGTTATTCGTTTCTGTGCGAGGGCCTTCTCTAGTTGTGGCAAGCGGGGGCCACTCTTCATCGCGATGCGCGGGCCTCTGACTATCACGGTCTCTCTCGTTGCGGAGCACAGGCTCCAGACGCGCAGGCTCAGTAATTGTGGCTCACGGGCCCAGTCGCTCCGCGGCATGTGGGATCCTCCCAGACCAGGGCTCGAACCCGTGTCCCCTATTCTCAACCACTGTGCCACCAAGGAAGCCCTTAAAGTTTATTTTTATTTCTTTTCGCAACGCATGTTAGTTGCAGTAGAGAGTACAAAGATCGCTTGTCATTTGGCGCGGCTAATGCCAAGTTACTTAAACCTTGGAAACATTTGTGTAGGGCTTCAAGAGTGCCGTGCACTTACAGAGACATTTTACAGGCGTATCTCCTGTGAAAAATGTTCCAAGTAACTATGATCCTTTATAACATCCTCGGTGTTTACTTTGCGCCAACTCTCATACACAAGAGTACGCCAAAAATACTTCAAAATCTCCTCTCTTGCCCTCTTGAGCACCTTTGGTGGACTCTTTCAATAGCCTATTTAGGCTCTTCTGGCCGTCTCCCCTGTCGAATGAGGGCAACGGGAAGAAAATCATTTTGACTTCAGCTAAAGATTTGAGAGAATGAGAACAGCAATAGTGATAGACGAAGCCACAAGGCAGGAGTCAAAGGGATTTCCTTTCGTGGGTATTTAACTGGTAGCGTGGACGAGTTTCCTGTAAAGAGGGCAGCCCCAACTGGAGGCAGGGGACTAGTTGGAAGGTTGAAGGTCTAGACCAGGAAACCACAATGGGAATCGCATCTTCTCAGTGCTTATCAGTCTTACGTCTCGGCCACCTCCCCCTTGGCAGCCTCCTCTTCATGATTCTCGTCCCTGGCTCCAAGGCACTCTATCCTGCTGCTTCTCTTTCTGCCTTTTGACTGCTTTTTCTTTGCCCACTGTGCTTCATTCCCCTCTTCCTAACAGTGGATATTCCTCAAAGTTCCACTCCCTGGCCAAGAATTAGCACTGGAACGTTAGCTTCTGAGGACGCAGGCTCACCCTTGTACCCAGCTGTATCCCGGCCATCTCAACAGTGCCTGGCTCATTACAGGATCTTAATAAATATGTGTTAAGTGAATGAAACGTCTGTTAACACCACCATCCTTCGCCTCATCCAGCATCAAAGTCTCGGAGCTGTCTTTGAAACTTCATCTTTTCTCCATGAATCCAATCATTTGTAACTCTAAGTATCACCTGGACAATGCTTCTTCTGTTTCCCTGGCTCCCTCTCTGCCTGTCAGACCCTCATTAAGTCTCACCCACTTTAGAATGACAACATTTTAGGTGGACTGCCGCTTTCTCCATCCCATCATGCATGTCACTACCAGATCCATCTGAGGCACACCCTGGGCTCGCATTTCTCTACCAAAGAGGCTTTGGTGATTCTCTGGTATCTAGTCTAGAAATTCCACCATGGTCCAAACACTATTTTTTTTTAATAAATTTATTTATTTGTTTATTTTTGGCTGCATCGGATCTTGGTTGCTGCACGCGGGCTTTTGCTAGTTGCGGCGAGCGGGGGCTACTCTTCGTTGCGGGGTGCGAACTTCCCTCACCAGGGAAGCCCCAACTGTGGGTTCCTCATATTCATCCATATGCCCTTTATTAGGTTGAGAAACTTCCCTTCTTTTCCTCGTTTGCTGAGAATTTTTATCAGAAATGAATATTGGATTTTATCAAACATTTTTTTCTGTGCCTATTGAAATGATTACATGGTTTTACTTTTATAGCTTATTTATATGGTGAATTACCTTGATTGATTTTCTAATGTTAAAACAGCCTTGCACTCCTGGAATAAATCTCACTTGGTTATGACGTATTATATTTTTATGTATGACATGGTACATATATATGTTTATATTATTGAATTTGGTTTGTTAAATTTTTGTTTAGAATTTTTGCATCTGTGTTCTTGAGGGGTATTGGGTCTATCGTGTAACCGAGCAGGGCCCTATGGGGCCTTCCCAGAGCATGCCTTCCCCCATATCCTTTGTTTTAGCTCCTCTCTGAAGTACCTACATAATAGTAATTTTTTTTTCAGTTTCTATTCACAAAGAAAAAGCTCCAGTCCATCTTCTGATTTTTTTGAAAAATTCCTGACATTACAGAACTCAACTGAAACGTATTAATATTCCACTCTTACATTTCCATGACAAACAAAAGAATTTCATGAGCCAGAACAAACAAACAAACAAAAAAGCCAGGGTAGATAATAGTATTTGATGCAAATTTCCTGCGCTGTTTTGCAGATGTAAAAGCCCCCTACCAAATGGAAAAACTACTTGCTGACCATGAGCACAGACCCCCAGGCCTCCTGGAGCCTAAGGACTGATAATCTTAACCCCTGTGACACCGCCCTGCTGCCTCACCATCAGCCCATCACAGAATTGTGCACAAGCTGACAGTACCCTGTGACAGCCCCGTCTCACCTGCCCTTTAAAAATGCTTTGCCAAAACCTTTCAGGGAGCTTGAGACTTTTCAGGGCATGAACCACCTCATCTCCTTCATGGCCTTGCAATAAACTTTTCTCTGCTCCAAACTCCTTATTTAGTTTTGTTATGTGGCAATGCTGGTCTCATAGACCAATTCTATGGTCTTGTAACACGGAAGAGCAAAATCTGACTCCATGTTGGATCCGTTTCTTTTACTTTAACCTTTGCTACTTTAACCTTTGCTTTTCACTTACTTTTATTATTATAATCATACACAATGGCCTGCCTCAGGGAACCCTACCCTTCTGCCTGAATGTTAAACTAAAGGACCTTTGTTCAGCTCTCAGGGAGACAATCTGACCCTGTCCACCTGTGAATGGCTGCAGCAAAGAAGAAATTGACACATCCCCTCCCCCATGCTGGCCAAGCCAGGAGATATTTTGTGAAATTAATGGCCTTCTTACTTTACTTCCTCAACTCTTCCCCCTCTCTGTTCTGTAAAATAAACTGGTATCCAGACCCCATAAGATTTTTTGGGGGGACGCTAGTCTGTCATCTTCTTGGTCTGCTGGCTTTCTGAATAAAGTCGCTATTCCTTGCCTGAACACCTTGTCTCCCTATTTACTGGCCTGTCGTGTGACGAGCAGAGTGAGCCTGGACTCGGTAACAGTCTCAGAGTGAATTAGGAAATTCCCTATGCTTCTACTGGAGTATATGGTATCTATATTCCAGAATATTTTCTGGGATGGTAATTGGTAGTGCAATGTTTGGTACATTTATCAGTGAAGTTATCTGGGTTTGAGGTTTTATTTGTGGGAAAGTTTGTATTGCATATTTAATTTTAATTTAAAATACATAGGTTATTTCTATTCAGCTTATTTATTTATTCTTGATTAAACACTAGTAGTTTGCATCTTTTAAGAAATTTGTCCATTTCATCTAAGCTGTAGAATATATTGGCATAAACTTGTTCATGATATTCTCTTATTCTTTTAATATCTATAGAACCTGTAGTGATGCCACTTCTCTCATTGCTGATATTAGTCATTTCTTCTCTCTCTCTTTTTTTCTGTATTTTTCTGATCAGTTTGGCTAGAGCTTTATCAAGTTAATTCAGTTTTTCAAAGAACGAGTTTTCGGGTTCATTGATTGTCTCTATTGTTTGTCTATGTTCTATTTCATTGATATCTATTCTAAAATAAGCCTACCTGCAGGTAGACCACTCACCACCATTTTTATTTTTCAGACATTTATCTGAAACTTTTCCAGTCACCAAGGTAAATGGTGACTAAGCAAGTGTCACCAGTTATAGTTTGGGTGTCCTGGACAGAGCCATCTGGACCCCTAACAAAGTTTATGCCCCTAGGATGGCTCTAGAATCCCTCACCAAATGGTCCTCAAGATCTAATCTGACACCAGTGAGTTTACCCATGAAGGTGTCTAGAAAACCTTCATAGTGTAGTTTGGTCCGATGCAACAAACATTTCCTTGTGTGCTTTCTCTGTATGAGGCATAGCATGGGTATTGTGGGGGGAGGGTACAAATATGAAGATATGTCCCCTGACCTCAAGGAGTGCTTGATAGAGTGTGAGACAGATACAGAGATTCCTGAAGGAGGGTACCAGGCCTACTGGGGCAATCCCACAGCAGACGTCTAAACAGAGGACTGTGGAAGCAGAGAGAAAAGAGAAAGCAGGCCCAGCAGACTGCTTCGCCCAAACATTGGGCGGGTAACCCTATTATGTGACGTTTCTAGAGAAAGCAATTTAAAATGGATGACAAACACATTCCATCAGTCCCTAGAATGGGAGGTGGGGTCGTCAATCTTATCTCAACATTTCTGAAGCCTCAGAGGGTTTGGAAACGGAATAAGACAAGCAGTAACATCAAGCATCGCAGAGACTCTTGTCGACCTCAAGTTCACTGCCAGTGAGGAGGTCAGTGGCAAGGTGCTTCAAATCTTTCCTTGGAATCTGGGGTGCCAATCACTTTCTGGGCAAAGAGTCTTTGGTACTCTGAAGATAAAATCCAAATTTTCCTTTGGGACAAATTTCAAAAATACCAGCTTTATTGAAACTTACCCTCTTTTTTTATCATTCTGAGTCCTTAGGTTCCAAGAGCATTGCTTAATAATTCTGTTTCTAAAAGGGCATTGCAGTGCAATGTCTCTGCTCATGGTAAAGATCAAAAGCTATCTCATCTGGAAAACATACTACTACCTGTTTCAGCAAATGCTTCTCATTCATTATCATCCTTATGAGTAATTCATTGGCAATGAGTATAATTTTTTTTTTTTTTACGAATGTCTAAATACACGCCCTCTCCTGAGGCAGGTTTTGTGCCTGTACTTATGCCGCTCCTGTTACATGAGCTTAGAATCCAGACAGCTGGATTGCTCTGGGCTGCAGTTAACAGATGGCTCCTGCGATTTTAACCGGCTTCCTTCCTCTTTGCATGTGTATGCTGCTGACATCTGGCTTTGCTGAGGCAGGCAAACTGCTGGTAGTACCCATGGATGGGAGTCACTGGTTTACCATGCGTCCGGTCGTGGAGAAACTTGCCCACAGAGGGCATGAGGTGGTCTTAGTCATACCAGAGGTGAGTTGGTACCTGGGAAGCTCATTCAATCTTACGGTAAAGACTTATTCCACGTCTTACACTCTGGAGAATTTGAATAGTGAGTTCCAGAAGTTCTCCGATTTTCACTGGAAAACTCAGCCACGCAGTTTACTTCATATGTTGATGAATCCGTCCAACAAAGCGTTCGACTACCTTTTTTCACATTGTAAGAGTTTGTTTGAGGACACAAAATTAGTAAAATACTTAAAAGAGAGTTCTTTTGATGCAGTGTTTTTAGATCCTTTTGATATGTGTGGCTTAATTGTAGCCAAATATCTTTCACTCCCATCTGTGGTCTTCACCAGGGGAGTCTTTTGCCATTATCTTGAAGAAAGCACTCAGTGTCCCATAGCTCTTTCTTACGTTCCTAGAGATTTCTCAGGGTTCTCTGATGTCATGACTTTCGGACAGAGACTGTGGAATCATATCCGGCACTTGGAGGAGCGTTTATTTTGCCACTATTTGTTCAAAAATGTTGTAGAAATTGCCTCTGAGGTTCTCCAGACACCTGTCACAGCATCTGATCTCTTCAGCCAAATATCAATTTGGTTGTTACGACGTGACTTTGTTTTGAACTATCCCAAACCTGTGATGCCCAACATGGTCTTCATCGGTGGAATCAACTGCTATGAGGGAAAGCCGTTGTCAAAGGTAAGTCACTTCTCCTTTAGCATATTAAGAATTAATCAGGCTTTGGACATTAAAAAAAAAAAAAAGATTCCTTACTAAACTGTGATTTGTCATTTATATCCTTTGCATTTGTAATTTCTCTCCGTTGAACAAACTGTTTTGTGCCAGTTAATTTAATTGTGCATCATCAAATTTTACAAAGCTGTCTTCTTTGATATGTATGTGTATACAATTGATGTAATTGTATATAATTTCCAGGCTGCATTTTTAAATCCTGTTTTAGGAAAAATACTGAAAAATACAGTAAGAAATGAAACTTCCCTTTTGTTAATCCAATGCCACCCCCTATAGGAAAATGCTTTTAGCCATTTTGTATGTATCTTTTCCAATTTTTCTGAAATTATTTAATATTATTTAATATAAGTGCATACATCTAATGTAAATTCTCACACCCACTTATTAAAATACAATCTAGTATCAGACTGGATATATTTTTCTTTACCTTGCTTTTTTTCACTTGCCAATAAATTGTGGACATCTACGGTCAGTACGTACAAATCTGTCACTCTTTTTAATGGTTGCATAAAATTCTTTACTTTGAATGTACCATACTTTATTCAACTAACCAATATTGATAGATATTGATAGCTTTTCCCATTTTTTCTTTTATAAGCAAGATTGTACTAACATTCTTAATTTCTTTACCTTCATATATTTCTATGTTTCTATGTTCTTATCTCTGTAAGCTAGAGTCCTTAGGAGTAGTGTTGCTGGGTCAAATAGTATGTACATACTACATTTTAATGAATTCAACAAATTGCTTTCAAAATATTGAACAACCTGACACTTTGGTCAAAAGTATACAAGAGCTCTGTTTTTCTATACCCCCTCCACCTCCAGAAGTTGTCAAAGTTTAAAATTTTTAGCAAAATAATTCTACATAGCTGCATCAATTTTTGTTTCCTATTTTCTTAGATATACTGGCCATTTGTATTTCCTCTTTTGTGAGTTATGTATTCACATTCTCTAATCATTTTTATAGCTAATTATTATGTCTCTTGAGTATTAGGAATATTAATACCTAGTTTTTTATATGTGCTGCAAATATTTTTTTCCTTGGCTGTCTTTCATCTTTCCTCATATGAGACTTTCATTTTTGGGTAGTCAAACTGGTTGACTTTTCCTTTAATGGTTTCTGGATTTCAGCTTGTTTAGATCTTTCCAAGTCTGACATATATAAGCATTTTTTTCTATATTATGTCTTAATGTTTTAATTCCACCAATGTTAATAGTTTTATTTCTTACAATAAGAACTTTGCATGGTATAAGGATCTAACTTCATTATTTTTCCTAAATGGGTAGCCCATTATCCCAACATCATTTAATAAAAAATCCTCCTTCATTCATTGAATTGAATTGCATCATTATCATATTTTAAATTCCCATATTTATTTGCATCTGCTTTTGTACTTCCAGTCTTTCTCCACTGATTTATTTATCTATTCATGTGCCAGGACCATATATTGATTATAGTAGCTTTGTAGTAAGTTTTAATACCTGGTAGGGCATGCCCCATACTCATGATTCTTTTTTTCCCAAGTTTTCTTAGTGATTCTTATAATTTATTCTCCTTCACAAAATTGAAAATTGTTTTATCTAGTCCAAAATATAAAAATAAACCATTAGGGTTCTGTTAATATTATGTAAAATGTTTTTACTCATTTGAGAAAGGTGAGATTGACTGGCTATTACTATTAGGGAAAGGAGCCACATTGTTAGGATCAGTAATGGTGCGGATAGGGAGTCCGAAAGGAATATTAATGAGAAATTAAGGCTATTGTCATTGAATTAAGAAGAAGTAAGCTTGTGAGACTAATTAGCAGACTATGGGTTGTGGAGTTAATTCAGATTGTGTTGCTTTTTGATAGTCAAGTTAGGGGTATTAGTATAATTGTGGGGATAATAAATTTTAACATTGGAGGAGGTTAAGGTTTTGTATGTTAATCGGTGCCATAGGTATTTGATACTATTACTAATAAGGCTAATCTGCGAGCTGCTTTGCAGGCTGTGAACACCAGCAAGATGATTGGTATTATGCTGGCTAAGGTGAAGTGTGAATTTAGGATTGTTAGGGTCTCCAGGATGAATAGTGATAATATTATGCCTTCTAGACATAGTAGTGAGGATATTAGGTGGGATAGATATATTAGTAATCCTATAAGGGATATAGTGAAAGCTATAATAATATTTATACACACTAAAGACACTTGGTAATTATGAGTTTAGTCATAATCTAATGAGTCAAAATAATTTGTTTTGTTTTAAACTAAATACAGTTTAGTTCAGTCCACTCCAGTCCTTTTTGAGTTCCCTGTAGGCCAGGCTAATTGCCAATAATGAGATTAAAAGTAAAACCATGGTGAGTATTGTTTTTAGATTACTTGTTTGAGTTACTCAGAGGAGGGGCAGTAGGAGGGCAATTTCTAGGTGGAAAAGGAGGAATGTGATCGCTACTAGGAAAAATTTTATGGAAAAAGGCAGGTGGGCGGATCCTATAAGGTCAAATCCTCATTCATAAGAGCTTGTTTTCTCTGCGTACATGTTTAGCTGGGGGAGTCAGAAGGCGATGAGTACAAGCAATGAGGCCAGTGCAGTATGTGTTAATAGGGTCAGTATTAAGTTTATTATTCTTTTTCGGGGTGTACCGAAACTAACTGATTACAAGTCAGTTGCACCAATTAATACTATAAGAATTATGAGCCTCATCAATCGATACGAAAAGGAATAGTCATAAAACATCTACAAAATGTCAGTATCAAGCAGCAGCTTCAAAGCCGAAGTGGTGGTTGGATGTGAAGTGAAATTTTAATTGGTGCAGGAAACAAACAATAAGGAAGGTGGACCCAATGATTATGTGCAGTCTGTGGAATCCTGTGGCTATGAAGAAAGTTGACCCATATACCCCATCTGAGATCGTAAATGGGGCTTTGTAATACTCTGAGGCTTGTAGGGGTGTGAAATAGACGCCAAGGGCAATTGTAATAAAGAGGGCTTGGAGTATGTGCTTGAGATTTCCTTCCATAAGGCTGTGGTGGGCCCAGGTGATAGACACCCAGAGGCTAATAGCACGGAAGTGTTGAGAAGCGGCACCTCTAGGGGTTTTGGAGGGCGAATGCCTGTTGGCGCCCAGCACCCGCCTAATTTAGGGGGGTAGGGGCGAGGCTTGCGTGATAGAAGGCTCAAAAGAAGCCGGTAAAAAAGAGGACTTCTGAGACGATAAATAAGATTATTCCGTATCAAAGTCCCTTTTGGACGACTGGTGTGTGATGGCCTTGGAAGGTGCTTTTTCGAATAACATCTCGTCATCACTGATATATTGTTAGAGTGTTGGTTAGTAGGCCTAATATTAGAATTATTGAGTTAAGTGGAATCACATGATTAGGCCCGACGTTATGAGGAGGGTTGAAAGGGCTCCTGTAAGGGGTCAAGGACTGGGGTTTACTATGTGGTACGCGTGGGTCTGGTGGGTCATTATGTGTTGTCATGCAGATATAGGCTTACTAAGAGGGTAAATACACAGGCTGGAATTATAGCAACTGCAAATTCGAGGATAGTGAGTAGGGAGAGAACAACGAATGTAATGAAAGGCGTGATGGTGTTGATGCTTATTAGCACTAAGATTGGTCCTCCGATTAGATGTATTAATACATGACCTGCTGTAATATTTATTGGCTGTAAATCGCACATCTAGTGTACCGGCTGGATAAACAGGCTGATAGTTCGATAATCACTAGCACAGGGATGAGGGGGGTGGGTGTGCCTTGTGCTAAGAAGTGGGCCAAAAATGCTTTTGTTTTGTTATGGAAACCTGTAATCATGGTGCCGGCTCATAGGGGAATGGCTGTTCCACATTTATTGAGAGCTGCAAGGTGTGTGTAAACGGGTGGGGTAGTAGTCCCAGAAGGTTGGTTGACCCAATAAATAGAATGAGAGACATCTTTTTGCTATGCTTTTCCTATTCAGAATATAATACTTCTCTTTACTTATTCAGATCTTGTTTTAAGTCTACCAATGAAAATTTGCATTTTTCTTTGTATGTCTTTTATTTTTTCTTATTAAAATTTATTCCTAGGCATTTTATTACTTTGGAAACTATTGTGAACAGAGTATATTTTCATTTCCATTTTGAAGTGGAAATTAAAGTATAGCTTTGCTTTTTGCACATTTATCTTAATCTAGCCATACTACTAATTAACTCTTAGTAGTTTGTAAGCTTTTTTAGGTATACAATATTGTCTGCAAATAATAACCTCCCATATTCATACCTCTTATTTTGTTTCACTGAAACATATACCTTCAAAACATTATTGAGTCATTAGTTCAATAACAATTATTCAATAGTTTATGAATAATGTTGAATAGTTGGTCCAGACAGTTTGAATTGGAGTTCAATCACTTGCAATTGAAAAGGTATTTTCAAATACAGGAGTAATATTCCTGGCAAATGCAGAGTCTCTAAATCCAGATGAAATGCTTATCTCAGCCTATTATTTTATTAGGGAAGTCCTATTTATTTTTATCTATTGATCTGGCTGCTTATAAGGCTCAGTACATTTTATAATATAGTCCTATTCTCTCACATATTGGGGGTCTTACTTTCCCCTTTGAACTAAGGAGAGGTTACAGACAGATTATGTACTCAGTGAATATATGTTATGGACACTCTGCTTATGTAACTCCTACTACTTAGAGCATGAATCAAGTCTGGCTAGGACAGCATTTTATAAGGGCCTCTGTTCACCTTGCCTTGCCCACTGGGGACCCCTGGATCCTCACATAACTGAGGAAGTTTCACCCAGACTGGGTACACACACACACACACACACACACACACACACACACACACACACATATGATAATGTTGGATTTATTTAGCATGACTGAATGCAAGAAAACGAGACTCAAAATATTGGTTGGGCTGTAGAATGTACAGACTTGTATAAAGCACCCCATTTTTATGA